CATGCATATTAGCACCACACCATGTCAACTAACTTAACAGCTTTATTTGCAGTGGCAGTAGCAGTAGTGCCTCTGACATCAGGAGTACCAAAAAAAGCTTAGAATGTTTGGAAATTGTGAAAGCTTATACATGGTAATAACTTCTCCGACGCAGTTTCATCAGTGACAGCTCAAAATGGCAACAAACCGTATCTTCAATCGCCAGCACTGAAAACTGAACCCAGCTGAACCTTGTGGACATGCAGAAATCACACCCATCTCAAAGGGAGTTAGTAAAACCTGAGTATAATAGGAGATAGCTCCCTCTAATTCTGCACAGTGCAGAGTCCAGTGAAGCAGATGAGTCTCTATACACTGAGTCAGCAACACTTTTTACTCCCACTGTTATTCCTTTTCATTTTTAACACGCCGTATTTCAGCAGCTGCTGGACATTTTACACTCATTTCAGGATCTCCTAAAGCAGTCCTTAAAACTGTGCTCCTACCTTCATTTCACAAGTGCAACGTATCAGCAAGAGGCTGTAGTACCTACTTTTAACAGTCAATGGCTTTTCTGCCTTAAAAAACAGAATCCATACATGTGACGACGAAAAACAATCAAACTTTCTTCTTTTCTTACTAAGAGAGACACACTTTGAGGTAGAGATTAATCATGCGGGGAAAGATTAATTCCCAGCTGCTTGGCAACCATCTGGACATTCTACTGGTTAAAACACTAGTTTGAATTGCTAACCTACCTCTTTGATCTTTCCCAATGTCTCCAGCACATATGTGCAATAATTAAAGACACAGTTCACAAACTACTGAGAAAAAAAATAAGGAACTGTACATGTCCATATAGAGCTGCACGACCACACCAATTAGCAACAGGAATTATAAATCACAAGTACGTTTATGGAAGCATGTCTCATCCTGACACACTGTATGTCTCACACCAGGCTAGCAGTACAATAAGGTTTGGGGTTTATGATATTACATTCCGAAGAGTTATCAAAGCAAGGCAGGATGTGATTTCCTCACACAGAAGACAATGGACAACTTGCATATGTTTTTAGGAAGAGGACATTAATCAGGCAGGAATCATGTTAACAGAAGTCAGGATTGCTGTGTTTTTAAGCACGAACTAGCAGATCACTACTCAGAATGATTAGTTGGTGGTGAGAATCAGTTTACAAGTGAATTGTCAATATAAATCAGACACTGCATTCGGAACAGACATCAGGTTTGCGGATAAAAGAACGTTCAGATGAACCAGAGACTATTTGAAGTCACAATACACGCTGCCTGGAATATGTTTAAGGGGAATAAACCGTTACATGCCTACATAGGTTCCTTTAGCTGTATTCAGCTCTCCCAACTCCATACACATACTTGTCTGTAGCCATCCACCAAGCAGATACACAACATACATATGCATGAGCACACAAACACTTTTATTTCATTATAATATACAAGAGAACAAGACTGATAGATTTTGTTACCAAATATCTGTTTTCAATGGGGAAAAAAAAAATAATCAAATCCACGACGTAGCTCAAATCACAATAATGTTATTTTTACATTGGTAAAAGCTCAGTTTAATTACAAGAATCCTTCTTTCAGTATACTGACTCCATACCATTTTTATTTATTGCTTTTAATTTGGCTTGCAGTAAACATTTAATTCATGTATTTAAATACTTTGCAACAGAACAGAGCAATTAAAGAGGAAGAAATCAAAACCAAAAGGACAGTGCTCACTGCACACCATCTCCAACTGCAAGGAAACATCTTTTTATCTTCAAGTGTGTATTTCCTTCTCCTAAAACCCCATCTCTTTCCCATGATAACACCTGCAAGTGTTACTCACCCTCCCTCCCACTTGCTTTCCTCCCTGCATTCTTTCCTTTATATCCTATGTATAGTCCCTTTTGGGGAAAATCTGTATTGCAGCCCTTATGCAATTCTCCCCATTTCAAGTCATAATCTCTTGCCAGATAAGCGAGAAGCACAGTAAATCTGCTGCTTTCAACACCTTAAATTCAGAACACTTTGAGCCAGACCAAGACTCAACCATAACATCATCACTGCAGCGTGCTGATTTTATCTTAACATAAACACATTGCTAGATCCCAACGCTTTTGGTGCAGTAATACTATATACACAGCTTGATGGTCTTTACAAAGAAAATCTGTGTAATGCAACAAATGGAGTGCTCATTCATCAGAAAAAAAGGGAGAAAAACATAAATAATGATTACAAAGGTAAAGGTTCTATATAGCTTTTTTTTTTTTAAAGGCTGCATCTTAAAGATACAATTGTTGAATACATAATAAAAATCAACTAAAACCTCTTCATTTTCATCTTACTTCTGGTCCTTGACCCATGAAAATGCATTTTCAGGGGAAAAAAAATAAATGTCTTTTTCCCATTCCCTACACTCTAAGTCACCATTCACTATCCAGCTCATCTCTCCTTTCCCCTGAGCACATGTTCCCTCTTCACAGTCCTCACTCCACGTGACAAAGCAATGCAAGTTGTCCTGCAGGTATTCCATATCTTCTTGCAAAGCTACCCATTGCCTCCTCCAGAATTATTCCTCCCTCCAATTGCACTGCAGCAACTACTCCTCCAGCTGACATTAGGAAATCAACCATTTCTGCCTGACTGCTTTAGGACACGAGAACCTGGAAAAGCAGCCGCTGCTTCAGTGTCCAAAGACTTTATCACTGGATTTCCAAAAAGCAAAACAGAGAAGTGACAGGAGCAGTGATAAAGTTGACAAAATCATTGTTAATACTCCATGTTCTCAGTTATTAGATGAAACTTCATAATACACTTACTGCACAAAGCATCAAGCTTGGCATTTGTCTAAAGCAACATGATTTAGGAGTTGCTATACAGCTCAGTACAAATGTGCTCCTGGTATTAATTACAACCTTTAATTTAGAAGGATAAAAAGAGAAAATTATTTCCAATGTTCTTGCCTCAGGTTTGTTCACGTTCCTTTTGCTGAGTCCACACAGATAAATATCTTTGCTTACAGAAAGAAAACAGAAGGAAGTGGAGAAAAATGGAAAGAAAAATTAAGGCTGACAAAATGAAAAATGAAGAGAACTTTATAAAGAAACCCCCAAACTCCTTTAAAGGATACATCGGTTGCTTGAGAAAGGTTAAACAAGCATCATGTTTTATTAATAGAGACAAATCTAGGCTTTAATTCCAGAACAATGTCAAGCCCATACTGGAGCAACAGTTATGTTCTGTTGTTCTGAACAATCACAACTACAACCTTTTTCTCTCCCCCTCCTCTGCTCTGTGCAGTATCGGGTGGCATTCAGGATGACCAAAGGTGAAGTTCAAAGAGACACTTCTTCCTATTTATCTAGATAAGGCATTCAGCCTGTCTGTTCTGGTCTGCTGTACTGCTGAAAGCCAACATAGTCCTGTTTTACTGCATCTTCCTCGTTTGAGCACATGATTTTTCAGTAATGACAAAGTTTCCCAAATGGTTTAATCCATGTCAGAAGGATTTGGGGAAAATATGACTAAACCCCACTGCTTGATGATATTCCCATTTTCATAAATCTGGGATGCGGTTATCATTGAAAATGGCCATGTGTTCAGCATTACAGAGTCAAAACAGGTGCAGGAATGGTTTATGAACAAAGGTCTAAAGGTTAAAAGCAAAAAACCCACAGTTATCCTACTTTATGTTCTCGAGTTCTACTACAAAGAGGTTGAAAACAGTTAAAGGTTTACCCAAACCTTTGGTACAGCGCTATTTTTCTCTTTATACATTCACATTTTAATAAGTGAAAAGGCTTTATTCTTAATTGAGCTTCACAAACCAAACAAGACGAAAACACATTGAAGTTTTCTACTTAACAGCACACACATGGCATTGTGAAATACTGTCTATAACGTTTCCAGTTTAAACTAGCCCACAGTCAAGTACCATTAGCAAAAAGGACAGGGTTTTTTACTGTGTGGTTTCGAGGATTTTTCCACTGACCCAGCAAAGTATTTGCTGTATTTTATGTAGCTGCTTGGCATGTGTTCCTGTTTGTTTCATTTGAAAATAGTACTTACATGACAGCATTGTGCTTTCAATTTACTTTATTTTTTGCTCTATTTTCACATCTTATGAAACCTTGCCTCATCCCAAGACAATGGTGGTTTCAATATTGTTAATACAAAAGAACAGCCAATATTATACCAGAGAAAGTGAAAGGCACATGTATTATGCAAGTGCCACAGCAGGCTGCTTGGGTAAGTGTTGAATTAGACCAACAGCTATCAACACAAAGCTTTCATATACGTTGTGAAGGCCAGGTTGGATAGGGCTTGGGGCAAGCTGGTCTAGTGGAAGGTGTCCCTGCCCATGGCACGGGGTTGGAGCTGGATGAGTTTTAAGGACTCTTCTGACCCAAACCAGTCTGGGATTCTGTGATTACTTTATTAACAATGGAAGTACCTGCAAAACAAATTTAGCCTCCCCTGCATCCCAGTTAAAGACGTATCCTAAAGTGTCTTGAAAATAACCTTAGGAAGGTTACAATTCAAGCATCCTTATAAGATACCATGTAAAAGGAGGGATAATTTAATGGTTGAGAAATGATGTCACTTCCTTTCTAACTCCTACTTAATGGAAATAAGGCCTAGATCTGGAGATTTTTAAAGGTATATAGAAAGTTACAAAAACTGTCACTAAATCAAGGCTTCCACTGCTTCTGTTAAAAGGTAGTTTGGAAAACTCCTAGAATTCAAAACTGTTCTACATTGAGAATTCCTTCAAAGGAAAACTAAATATGTTCCAAAAGTCTTCTTTATTCTCTAAGTAATTGGGAAATACATTCCGTATTTAATGACAAGTCCTGGCACTTCAGCAAAAGCTCTCTTCCACGAGCTCTTCTGCCACAACAAACTGTTTTGCAAATACCCGATTTCCCAAGAAAATGTCCTAATTTACTGATTTGGGTGTAATTTTCTTTTTCCCGAAAGACGAAAAAGGACCTTACCTCTCTTCGAAACAGCGCCTGCTCATCACGTACAGGGCTGCTTCTTCCTCGGCCCATTTTGGGTGTCATCTGTTGAATGCAAAAGAGTTCAAAACAACTTAATTCAAAGCAGTAACTCCAAATACAATCCACCCTAACCAGAAATGAAGAATATTAAGCATGTTGTTCCCCCTTATAAAACATTATGGGAATATAGATACATACCAAAGACACTGGCATTGGTTTTTCTCGCAAGTATCTTGGATTTTCTAACTGAAAAACAAGTCAGAGAGAAAGTAATCACGTCAACAATGTCTTCTTATTTCTTCTATAAAGTACAAAATATCTCCAATTACTCAATAAAGTTTGCAATGACAACTTCTAGTGGTCTGTACCAGGGTGGGAATACTTAACCGGGTAACTCTATCACAAGAGTAGAACAGATTTAAGCGTGCCTCTGGTTATAAACTCCAGTTCAACAACTGCTTTCCACTAAGATTTGATTATCTACTAAAACACAGCTTATCTGCAAATCATCATGTCTCTAGGCACATGGCTATAACATAGAAGTAACACATACATTCGTTTTCCTGTGCATAATTCCCTCTCCTTTAGAACACTTCAATGACCCCTAAGAAATTAACTCCATGGAATGCAAACGTCCATCTTTTACAAGTTACAGAAATAGGAAATCTTCATAAGGGATCATTCTGCTGGACATGATCTACTCAGCAAGTTTTACAGTTTTAGTGTTTCCTAATGGAAATGGTTCAAAAATTGCACTTTATTTTTCTCCCCCAACCCCCTGTGGTTGTAAAAATTCCATCAGTGCATGTTTTAAAGGAATTTGGCAGCTGAATACCTGGCTTATGCAAAAGATCCCAACTTTATTGGATAAACTTGCATTTAAATCAGTCAAATTGGAATAAATTTATGGATTACAATGATTTTCATCTAGTGTTTTTGAGAAATTACAGTCGAGTGCATTGAAACTATACCCACACATGTAAGCCATAGAGACAAAACATAAGGAAATCATTCATTAACACCACTGTATAATTAAAGCAGCTCTTTTAATCACTATTTTTAAGTACTGAATACAAAACACTGTTCACAACCCACTTCCTCTATCAGACAGCTCTATCTTTTTCATTTACTCTGACAATGAGGCTCAAATATCACATCACAGAGAATGCATAACACCCAAGAAAAGCTTTCAAGGGTATAATCTTGGAAAACCTGGCAGTGAGATCTGGAATGTGAATGTGATTGCAATGCACATCTTACAACATTCGGTGCATTTTAGTTTATTTTATTTAAGATCAAATTGATCTCTGAGGCATGGTAAGCGTATCAAATGCTTGCACTTTCTCCAGTACTATTAAATAAAGTTTTACATTGGATTTATCAGTGAAAGGAAGGCTTAAACCCTCTGAAATTTCAATTTGATATAGTATTATTCATTTCCTATCCTAAAAGGTTATGTAGGATTTCTATATGGTGTTAAGAGTCGTCCTATTTCCCCCAGAAGTAGTTGTAGATATTCACATTTAACATATCCACTCTATTTCATATGATCTAATATTTTAATGCTGTAATTGAAAGTACATGAAAACCAATAATTTAACAGATACCCCATTTCCCTATATTGTCAATGAGTTTACCAAAACAGATACATTATACTTTCCTTCATATAAAGCATCCTGGGTTGGTTTTATTTTGGGGTTTTGCGCATGCAAAACACATGGGCAGACATCAGTCAATATAGGAATCCTGCACGCACCTACTGCAAAACCAAACTCAATGCTTTTGGACACAGGAGATTGGCGAGGAGGGGAATACAGGAGGGAGAACATCACGGGGCATTAACCACAGCAGACAGATAACAGTGATTAGAAAATAATAATAATGAAGAGATAGAAATGAGAAGCACAGAAATTCTAAGCCAGAAAATTTTTTGAGGGGTCTCTTTATTCTACACAGTTGTATGTGCAATAGTTATTTTCTGTCTAAAAGGTCTCTAGTTTTACCACTATTATATTCTTCCTTCCAGCTTATTTCACCAGCATCCCCATCCATCATACACCTCTAATCACCACCTGTACAGATACCCAGGACCAAAGGCCTGAAGCCAGAAGCTCAAGGCAAACCCTGATCCGATTCCCTGAACCAACAGCAGCCAATAGCACTGAAAGCCTTCCCCAATCAAATTTCAAAGGCTTAACCATTTTCCAGAAGCCCTCTCTCTCATGTAAAAGAACATAATCATTCACTTTTCCTTTTTTAAAGCTGAAAATGATGGTAAATATTTACAGTTAATTCCAATCCTTTATCTGACCATGAAATTAAGCCATTTAGTCTTCATTTCAAAACCAAACACTAAGGTATATACTACTTGCTTACAAGAAAGGAAATGCATCTCTAATACTTTGTATGGCTCAAGTCTTGCATTTTTTGATTTGGTAACAGCAGCCATATGTGCTTTGAAGTTAAATGTTCCCACTTTGTTACTTGTTGTGGATTATATCCACTTAAACTGATCTGTAAACATTTAATGCCTCAACGTTCATTCTTTTCATGCTGGTCTTCTGCAAAACTTCTTGTTCTCAGAATTCTACCACATTAAAGAGGGAGTATCACAATAAAGAATGCCCCAAAAAAGAAAAAAGCAGCTTGTATTTATGAGAAACATGCAAATTTAAAAATAATAACCAAAAGGTCAAAGACAAACCAAAATACATATGCATGAAACTGAAGGACTGCCATGAGAAGAACAGTAAATCACATGCCTTTTTTAAGAGTATGAACCAAATAAATGTCATCATGAAAGACATCTTTATTTGAACTGGAATTGAACTCTAATTTGTAAATACCACTTCTTCACAAAATGGCATTTTGAGTTTCTTTGTAGGAAAGCTTTTGGATCCTCCTGCTCCGTGAGGCAGTTCAACAGACAACAAACCGTGTCGCAATCGAGGGGGACTGACACGGTCACCTTGTAGCACTTGAGTCCTCATAAACCAGAGTTGGGAAGGCTCAGGATGATCAGATCATTACTGCACAGAAATAATCTACTTTATGAAAATATACCCGTTCTCCTTAAATTGGAAGAAGTCTGCATAAAAACCCACATATTCCAAAACGGAATTTGAGGGAAATTAGCCATAATCTTTAACTTCAATATTTTCAATTTCTGTTTATTGTAACACCACCTGAAGCAGTCAAAACTAAGCATTTTTGAAGTAAACATTTTAGAGCTACCATCACAAGCAATGAATGCAGCACTGACAGAAACAAACTGAGCTGAAATGGTCTCACCCAAAAGCAATGACGGCACAGAAAGAGCACAGTTTTGAGCACTAAATACTTCTGCAAGACTCATCCTCAGGACATCAACTACATTTCATCCTTGGGCTGGAAATACCGTACAGGCTTTATATCTGTCATAGCTCAGAAACTTAGACCAAAGCTTCTGCTTTTTGGACACAGTAAATACCACGATGATGACATTAATGCTTCCAAAGTCACATTTCATTCTTTGGAAGATATTTATCAAGGTATATTTATCTTCAATAATGCACAACTGTAGCTTATTACAGCTCAATAACAGAGTCAGAAGGGGGGTGGGATATATTAAGATTCGGGGGGGGGAAAAACCCAAACCAACACAACTGGACCATCAGGCTTGCTGCAAATTCTCCCTTAAGCATCTTTAAAGACAAAATGAGACTGTTTTCAAAACAAGGATGGAAAAACCACACATGAAAGAGTTAAGAACACTTAAGATTTTGAAATGGTAAACAACTAAACTGAACCTTGCCCTAAATTCTTACTTTAATCTAACAAACCCAGCCAGCCAGCATGCTCCCTACAGAAATAACTGCTGAGTAGCTTCAGGAAATTTGAGTAAGGACATTCTTATCTAACATCATAATTCGTAGGGAAGCTCACTTTAATGCTGCTTCTGCAGTCTTAGTGGAAGGACATTAAAGCACATGAAGACTGTTTGTCAGCATGGAAGTTGAATTGAGTTTTTGAAGTCACACCACCACTTGGAGTTCACTGTGGGAAAGTTTTTACAGCGCTGGTGCCCTCAGAGGCCACAACATATCCAGTAGGTATGTTTACTGTAAGCAGAGAGACTAAGAAACCAAACAAAAGATAATGAGATGGCTTGTACAGAAATGGGTGGGCTTAACTAGACTGGAAAGACACAGGCAGATGTGAGCCAAGTACACAAAACAGGCACAAGGTACACTGCTGCTGTAGCCATCCAGGAATCCTCTGTGCTCACATCTACATTAACCCTGTGTGGTAGAAAACTTCTTCAAAAAGAAGAATGTAATGTAAGCCACTTGTAGTGTAATGTAATGTTAAGGCAATTCTTTGGTCTTAGACTTTGGTCTTCTTAAACCTTTATTAGGCAGTAACATTTCCCATATTAAGAGATGAGCATCCCAGTTCTTTGTGCTGAAGATCCTCCATTACTTGTGGTAAAGGCTAAAGAGTTAATTCTCGTCCTGGCTGAATTCCAGTGATGAAAAACCGTGTTCTCACTGATTAAAAACCCCTTTGCTGTTTCTGAGGGTACAATGTCTTTGGATGCTTTCAACCTAAAATGAAGTGCTGAATTTCCTGGGATGTTTAAACGAGTTGCTTTGTCACACCTCAAATGGGCTACAATTCAGTGACAAGTGAAAACGTATCGGAAGCATCATGAAAAAGTGTGTATATATATATATACATATATATATATAGGCAGGTCAGTTAAGAACATGCAGGGATTAAATTCTTTAATGTTCCTTTACATTACTTTAATTTTCTACCCCAAAATTGTGTTTGTCTACAGTCAAAAAAGCTTAACAAGAGGAAAGAAAGAAAAGGAAGAAAAAAAAAAGCCAGTTTAATTCCATTTTCCAGTAACTTCTTTTCCTGATACTGCAATATTTAATTATTTCTTGAGACATAACAAAAGGAAAGGTGAGAATGGCCCATTAATGAAATGTACTAAATCTGCAACAACATATACAAGTCTACTGACAGCTGTTAATAAAATCAGCTACCCGAGTTGTATTATGTTCTGAAATAGCTAAATCATGACAAAAAGTGGAAAGCAACAACACAACTAAAGCTGACTTGTGTCTGTCTAAACTCCTGGCTCTGAAACTTTCCCCTTCAAATGGTAATACAAAAGGATGTCTTTTCTACACTGCAAATGCAGCCTCAAGGCATGAACACTTACTAAAGGATAGTCCCCACATCAGTTTAGATAAGAGTCAATAAGGGCTAAGAAAAGCACATTGTTATAATTTATTTAAAATTAGTATTCCATGTATAAAAGACAAATTTATCACAATCAAAGCTTAGCTTTTTTTTTTTCTTTTCTTTTAAACATTTATTCATGCATGACTAGAATCTAAAGAACTTGAACAATAAAATGTTTGAGAGATAATCAGGAATGCTGCAAGGCAACTGGGAAAGTTCTTTTATTACTCATGAGAAGCAACAATATTAGCAAAGTTTTACTTCTCGTGTAGCAAAAGTTATTACTAGTAGCAACAAGTATCTGAATCCTCCATATTACTCTCTTTAAGCTCTGACCTCCCTGCTTAGTAGAGAAACCATAAAATTATTTACCCAAACATTTCACAATACTTTTAATAGTTGTAATAGTAATAATAATAATAATAGTAATAATATCTCAGCCACTGCTGTAAGCGTATCATAAACAGTGGAAACACATTCATATGTAACCTTAAAACCACACCATCTTTGAAGAAGAGGAAATCTAGAATACATCAAAGTCAAAGCCCAAGAGATAAGGGTAAACATAAATTAACAGTGTGTAACTGGTCATTATAATCCAGACAAGCCTGTAGTGGAACAGTGAAGGCTTAGCAAGAACTCACGGTTGGAAGATGCTAAGGTTTTTCTCACCTTTATATACAGCACCTACCTAGATGTTTGCAGATTCTTAACCAAAATCTACATTTGCTTGAAATAAGAAGAGCTTCCTAAAATTTCAAGGACTTACTGAGAAAATCCTTGTATAAAGACTTGTCCAAAATTCCCAGGATCAGGTCTGTCCCCATCACTGCAAGAACACACAGCAGCACACATCCCTTGCCAGATCAGCAACCCTGATTCACCATCTATTCCTCAAGACAAGGAAAACTCAAACAAAAACCCCAAGGAACTCTTGAAAGCTTTTTTAAAACAACTGGATTTATATTAGGCCATCCAAAGCAAAAGCCATTCTGTATTTCCTCCCCTAACTTTCCCCCAGTACTGAAGTATCCTTTTAGGTCAAGGGTCTCCTGTATCTGAGGTGGCATCGCTTGTAAGTTAAGCTTCTCAAATGGTCTGCAAATGTGGCTAGCTGTCAAAGGATAGTTAGGTGCTCCTATGACAATGTAAACGCTTACAAGTAACAGCAGTCACATCTTGAACTCAAACCCTACAGAATCTGAAGTGCTGCCATCATTTAGTAAGTTTCCATCTTTAATAATCAAATATCCTTCTTTAAGTATGTAACCCTACTTAAAACACCTCAACCCTTTAAGAGCCCACTGCAGGCCGTGATCCATAGCAAGGGAACACTGTACAAGAACAACCACTTACAGACCTCCCTTTTACAACCCCGAATCCTAACTCCCAACAAGTCTTATCAAGCAATCAAAGTCTCTCACTAGCGACTTGTTTAATTACGATCCCTGGAGAGGAGACTTGAAAAACTGATTTATGTGTCACGGTAGCCAATTTGTTATCCAAGATTGCTCCCATATCAGTGGAGGATCATCCCAGTTTAATAACCATCCATTATCAACACAACATGATTGCAAACTGGAATTTCAATTAGAAAAAGAAACAAACCCCAAATAAAAGTAGAGAGATAAGCAAGCAGGCAGATCAACACTGATATAAAAATGCTGGATATAAAGAGATTCTTTGTCAACATCAACTGGAACAATTTGTAATATGGCCATGAGCAAGTTTCCTTTTTACATCAGCTTTAAAAGCTCAAGGTATTACAACTACCTGCTCATATAATCCAGGTATTTATACAGTCCAAATATCCCAAAACCTGCAAGTGATTGCTTGCACATTTGTTTCAGACACCTGCGCAGAGCTTTCGCAAACCAGAGTTGGCTGCTATTGAAAAGCTTTCAGTGCAGAGAGTGGGTCTCCAGAAGAGAACTACAATGCCCAAAAAATACATTCATCTAAATCAAGAAGTGCTAGAAATGGTTCTCATATTACTCTATCAAATACAAGAAGCATCAAGGAGCAACACCATGCACCCAGGCTAACATCTTCACTAATCTCAATCTTTAGTTCAGACAAAGTGGTTGGGCAGCTCCTGCAGCATCTTAAGGTCAAGACTTCTTCTCCCTCACAAGTAAAGCAAGCAACTTGCATTTAGAATGCTAACAGGCACCACAGCAGCACAAGAAACACCAAGAAGGACACAAAAATGTTAACATTCTCTCATCATTTATGTTTTCAACTGCAAACTTAACACTCAATGCAAAACAGTGAGTGTAATAGGCAAGGTTTTTAAATGCTGTCATATCCCTCTGGACTGACACTAGTGTAGGAAGAATAAGGATAATTTGGCAGCTGATGAAAATGACAACATGAAAATACATAACCATTACAAAAACCAAAGCTGAAGTATTTCATTAGAAACTCATCCCTCCTAACTTCACCTCCCTCCCAAAAACAATGGAGCTTTGAAACTATGAGACTATGCACAAAATGACAGAGAAAAAAAACAACTCTCTTTATTAAAAGTGATCTCAATAAAACTAAGTTGTTATGAGGACATCAATCCTAATCAAATAGGGTAAAGATTTGGAGGTACAGGTAAAAAGTTTTAAGAGACAAAACACAACAGAATAGCAGGATACAGCTAAAGAGAGAAGGAACTTACATTATGATCTTAACAGTTGTTGTGGGCTAATAAAACAGAAAATACAACCAAGGGAATAAAGTCTTATTATAACAGTAGCCTTAAATCAAAATTTAAATGCATCACAGATTCTTCCCTCGATAAAGACATGCTACTCTGTCCAGGAATCAGAGCCACAGCATTGGTTTAAAGCTTCTAATTGTTGAAAGGGGAGGAAAGACTTTAACACACTGAAAAGCACCTTGGACACTACCAAAGAAAGGCAAACTCTGGCAAAAAAACACTAAGTTGTATTAATGGCTTACAAACTCTGTATTCCTTAGAAAAAAAAACAGTAATACAAACAGCCAAACTCTTCTGTCATATATATATATATGCACAGATCTAAAATAACATTATCAAGTTATAAGAAAGAGTCTGAGTTTTGTCCAGGGTAAGACACTTGGTCTTGACCAGCAGGTAGCATTATTCTGCTTAATTTATCAGTAAGACTATTAAATACAATCAGATTATTATTGCCTTAAAATAAGGCATTTTTAACGTTTTCTTCTCAAGATGAGATGTGTTCATAATTAACCTTCCCAAGTTTACCAACTCCTGTCTAAAAGCCTGATTCCTACGTCAAGTTTTGTTGACTAAATTCCCAGATGCAAACTACATCACTAAGGAGTTTTTATCCCTAAAGTAATGTACTCTGTTTATTTTACCCCAAGATTCCAACTATTGAGGCGTGCTTCGAGGTCGCTGTCATCCAAAGAACTGGGTTTTTTATGACGATGGTCCTGGAACATAAAAAAAGTCAAAACAACAGATCAGAAGAGCTGGCAGATACATAGGCAAGAAAATAAGCTACTCATTGCCTTGGCTATGCCTACACCTTGCTTCCTAACACCTCTGGCAGCTTTAATCTAAATAGCTCCATTACCAGTAGGATACTGTACTAAGAAAGGAATTCAAAGGATAAATTAGCTGTCTCCTCACTTTAATGTTGTTCTTTATTTTACTTATTTCCAAAGCAACGGCCTCCTTTACAAAGGGTGAGTTTACTAAACAAAAACCAAACTACTCTGTTCTTCAGGCAACAAGCTAGGAATGATCCCTCTCCACAGGACTTTCTATGTGGCTAATCCAGAAACCACCCCCTAAGCCTCCAAATAAATGAAAAGTAATAGTAATTAAAGGAAACCGCAGCAAGGCAGGGATAGTTATAGTGGGCAGATATAACCAGAAAATCAGAACGTTGAAGCCTGGATTACTTTGTCACATTAAGTTTTGCTAGCAAGAGGTCTGCATATTGGCGTGCAAGCAAATCTTTCTTAAATCTGCTCATTCACTGTAAACATACAGTGAATGGTGCTTTGACTTCAATTAATCAACACTTGGTTGAGGCAGCTCTTAATGTTTCTTAAAAGACTCCCTGTTCCTCTACCTGGGCCTGAATTATGCCAGAACATCTGTGCATCCCTGACAACAGAACAAGATACTATTTGTTCCAGCCAGCCAAACGTTCATCAAACTGTTTGGCAACGCAAGAGAGAATTATTTCATTTAAAGGCCCTTTTAAAACTGTAATCACAGTAGAATCCAATATATGGAGCTGAAGAACAATGATGTGCACTGACTTGTCTAACATTGCCCTGGAAGCCTGTGGCAGAGCCAAGAACAAAAAGCATAAACAAAACAACAAAAATCAGACACTTTAAAGCCCCAGATCCAGGTTTCAATTGAAGAAAACCCTTTTCTTTACAAAAGCTGCTCCATAAAAGCTATTTCTTTAAGTCAAGTAAAATAAACAGGAAACCAATGAGGAGAAATTTAGTAAATCCAGCATCTGGTTTTTATTTTTTATCATGTCATTTCTTTCTTAAATCACACTTGTATATACACAATTAGCACACACATAAGTACACTCATACCAGCCAGAGCATAGAGCAGACACTCATTTTTTGCCCACAGGCCACTTGTAGCCTGCCATGGTAAAGCATCCTTTGCTAGTCCTCTATTCCAAACACGTATTAGAACACAAATTTCCTCACAAAGGCCTCAGAAGCAAGCTGCCAGTTTATCCACTCACATGTCACATTGTCATAAGCCCAGTAAAGAAGGGTAAGAACAGTCTGTATGAACTGCTCGGGTGTCAACAGCCCACTTCCAGCTTCATGCTCTCTAAACTGTTCCTCTGATACCATCAAAACAATAACTGTGGGCAAGCCCACAATACACATACAGCAAATTCAGTGTTTCATGGAGGAATGAAAGCTATTATAGAAGCACTGGCTATGGCAAAGGAACTGTGTCAGACAGACCTCTTCAGTAATAATACTATATTAATAAAGACTATAATAAAGATTAATAAAGACTATATTAATAAGACTGTATTAATAAAGACTGGACACTGCAAGGCTACAGAGTACATTCACGATGCTTGTCGATAACATGTAGTTGTCAGGAGGAATTTTCAGTTTAAATGCTTGCAATTATACAAACAATACCATTCGATATTTTGGACTAAAAGGGTTTTACGTGAAGTCTGTTTAGTGTCCTTCTATCAGCCACAATGCTGCCTGTGGAAAGACTGATAAAACAAACTGTCCAAAATTCACTCCTTCAGAGGTCAACCATCACTAAAGAGAGCCAAAGACGTCTATGCAGCCTTCTTTAATCTACTATTGCAAAATACAAAATGATGTCAATATAGTCAGCTTGCCAAGCCTAGGGAAAACAATGCAGCAGACGTTAATCACACTACACTAAACAGAGGTCAACTGTTAGGATTAATGGAGAGCATCCTGCAACTGCTTTCCCCCTGCACTTGCAGAGGGCACATTTTGATGAGCATTAGTCCTTTCTATCACTCCTTCCCAAATGTCTGCACTTGTACACATGGATAGTGCTTCATGCAATTAGAAATAACAGCTTTATGGGGATATACAGAAACAATACATTGAAACTAGAGCAAGTCTGATGACAAAAAGGAGAAGCATCTTACCGACTGTGGTGTGGCTGGGTTGTCTTCAGCTGTCCGGTGAGGAGGACTCATAGAATGCGATCTTAATGCTGGCTTCTCATTGTACTTGAATCTTTCCCTTTTATTAACAAAAACAGTAAGCAGAGAGAGAATTCATTTTCAGCAACTGGTGGCACACAAAGGAAGTTAATGTTAAAACCTTTTAAAATTTACAAAATAATTGTCAAGATGCAAAGATCAAAAATAGAACAAAAAAGGGGAAAATTTCTTATTAAAGGCAAACAAAAGCCTTCAGCATTCCATTAAAAACACAACACCAAAACCTCCCACACCAACTAAAATACCAGAAATATCATGTACATCACAGTATATTAAAAGGTGTTCTCTACATTTCTGTTACCAAATGACCCAGCATCTGCCAACAGATTTTTAGACTAAATCCAAGCTAACTGAGAAGGCTGATCTAGAAGAATGTTTTTAAAACAAAATCACTGAGCATCTGAGACTGTGCAGGATAAAGTCCAGCATCTAGGGGAAGAAAAAGGGATTAAGGTGATGGTTGGCTGCACCAAAGGGGAGAAGACTTTTAAGACCAAAAATACATGAGGTTAGATCAAGGTATGTTTTGTAGGACATACACACCTGAAGACAAGGGCAAGCACTACACAGAGCTCAACAGGAAGGCAATGACTTGTAAGTGGAGAGCAACATGGCAAAGAAAAGTCCTAAAGATTGTATTTGTTGCATTTCCATTTTATCGACTCAAGTGGTTTGGTTGCACAGGGACAGGGATTTTCTGGAAAACCTTTAGTTAAAGGCCTATTGTTTAGTCATAAGCAACAGCAAATTAAGAACAGCAGATAGGTGCTGATAACCTTCACTAATGTAACCTGGGCAACAGATATTTCTCAATCATAGAACAACGAAAGAAAAGAACTGCCTAGGACAAAAATAAAATGAAAGTTATATGAGTTTATTAGATAGGCTGATAAAGCAAAAGATCCAAAACAGTAGTGAAACACCCTTCAGCATATACTCCACTGTCAAATCCACACGTCTTAATGTAATTAAAAACTCCTGTTAAGTCACAGGAAGGTGAAATGAACTAACTGTGTTATATTAAAATCAAATCAGACCACTAAAATACCTTTCTTTCCATCTGGCAGCAAATTATACAGTATGTGATGCCAAAAAAACACAGACAAATTAAGTGTTTGTGAACAGAAAGACAACTGTTGCATGTACAATATAAACTAGTCACTTCTAGGAAGACAAACCCAGACGAACTTCTCATGAAGCATAGCCCCAGCTTTCAACAAAACAGCAGGGAACAGTGAGACAGAACAACTGGGAGCATACCTTCCCTTCCAGCACCACTAAATACCAACAACGGGTAGGGATGCAAAATTATTGCAAAGCTGTAAATAGTTTAGATAAGCACAGTAATAGAGGCGAAAAAACCCAAATGAAATATAAGAATACAATGACTGTCTTCAGCATGTTCCAAATCATGCATTTCTTACCCAGATTTCATTTGACACAAAATTATCAATCATTAAAAGAAAACAAAGCTTTGCATGTCAGTAGATGTTCACTTGTATCAGGCTTCTTTCCTGAACAGTATTCAGGTTACTTAACAACTCAATACAGCCCCAATTGTTTAAAATGACAGAAAACAGATTTCATGCCCATATCATTAAAAGATTAAGGAATATCAATAAATATGCAAACCAATCCAAGTTACCTGTAGTATTTTAAACTGACAAAATGGGGAAGAGAAGACTAGATGCATTCTTGGTTCTTTATTTGCTATTTTGAAGAGGAGCTGAAAAGAAAGTTGCTGTAATTGATTCTATAAACTGTATTTGAAGAGATCCTTAAGGATGGACTGCAAGTTTGCTTCTATCAACCACATACTACCCATTCACTCCCTTTTCCAGCCTTCTGCTAACACAGGTCAGGCTCCAGAAATCACAAGATGATTTCTTTTTCCTCCCATGGCAGATGAGTAGAGCATGGTCTTGACACCAGCCCTGTGACCTCCTGCTTCAGCCAAAACAGTGAGCTAGCATGGGAGAAGGAAGCAATTTGCTGCTAATAAAGGAGATCAGTAAATAATTTCCTACTAGGAACAAAGTAAGGGAAACTCACTGGTTCCTCCTGGTATACAGCACTAACCTTGAACAATGTTTTCCAGGCATGATCTATAAACATACATATATTTATTTCCTATGGGGTCAGAAAGCCCAGGTTTCTCTTCAAACCAAGCCACACATTGCTGAACCCAATCCTCTCATGTTTCAAAATAAAGATGCACCTTTCTAGCTCCAGCTGGCTTGGTCTTACTCATTTACACCCTGCAAGCAAGGTTTGTCTATCTGCTTTTTCTTGAGCCAGATAAACAATTCTGTATAGAAAAGCCAGACTCTTCACACATAGAAGTATATGTATTGCAAGATAAGAATGACTATGAAAAGAAGTTCTCCATTTGTTTGCTTCTTTTAAAGGAGGGAATCTTGAGATAAACAAACATCAAAACATTACTCAAATATTTCTCACTGACATTATCTATTTCGCCTTGAGAAAACGTTGTGGTCTATCTGTAAGAACACAGACACGGCTGGAATGCGTAATGTTCATCCAACTACAGAGATTACATGCCTATGGAGATGGAGACAGCTTGCTTGATACAAGTTCTGAATAGACACACAAGTGTAATGTAACAAGACCACCATCTGCTGGCTCTCCGTGCAAATTGCAGAGCCCAGAAAAAACGCTTCACATCGCATGAACGGCCCATTCCAAACTGCAAATACAAAGACGGGATCTGTATGTTGAGTATGGCGAACATCATAACATAAACACATGTGGATATGTATTACATAAGCTATTTCTACAAAACATAACAGACGAAACGTTTGCCTTCAGTAATTCTTCCTGCTTAACTCACACATTTAACCCAAGTTTCTCATTGCTATGTGGATTAATTTATGTAATCTACAAAGCTATCACGATTTCTAGTTGCCAACACAAACTCAGATTTCCTTAGACACAGCTGCACTCTCGGTGTGAGCATCATTAGCAGAGCCATGCCTACACAGCTAAGTTTCACTTCCAGATTTCTTTAAACCCATAACTGACCCCATAACATTTACTTGCTTCTCCTGACATGAAATAATACGTAACACAGGTCTCCAAAGACCTCACCAGAGCCTTGGGAACTGTCTGACCATCACCCGTGGAGGGATTGCTACAGTCCCACAGGACAAAAAAGGAAAAGTAAACGAAATAGATGAAATAAAACTTCACCACCCTGCCCATGATTTTGGGAACTTTGCAAGACCGAGCTGAATCTTAGGGCCAGCTAAGGGATAAAGGGGTCAGATCTCCAATATTCTACTATATCTACTATCTCCTACCTCTAGATAGGAGAGTTGTGCTGATACTGCTTTACTGCTCCTAATACCTAAACTGATGCTGCATCATGCTGGCACTACTCCAGCGACCAAGACAACCTCATCAGATCTATGCCAGCTATCTTTACATGGCACAATGCTAACACAGATTCAGCTGAGGCCTCTAAAAGCATTTCTAAAGCATAACACATTGCTTGTTTTCATAAGCTTAAACCTACTTTATTTTTAATTGAGGGTATTTGAACAGCTCTTCCCAACTGTTCTTTGTATCATTGAGCCTAAAGCAGCAATAGGGTAACACAGCTAGGAGTTCCTCTGTTCTCCACCTTCGTCTTAAACCACAAGTCTGCTACCAAAATTACAGGTTCATGTCCGAGCATTTGAGTGCAAGCAATCAGACCACCCCACAGTACAGACAGTAGGACTCAGAAAGAGGAGATGCATCAGTCCTTAGAGCAACATTTTGAATGACTGTGAGGAATTACATAGTTAATGGATACACAAAAGGAAGTTTCATGATACTCAATATCAACATGATGTAACTTGCAAGAGGGCCTGTCTGTAATCTACCCAAATCACAGCTGAGTAACTAAGAAACCCAAGAGACTGCACTGTGATACACAGCATAAACCTAAGTGTGCCTGAAAACTAGGAAGAACAACAAACAATAACCACTTACGAACAATATGAGTGAACACTTAAAAAAGCATTAGACTTTTGAAACAAAACCTGGGTGCATATTTATAATGCAATGAAACCAAGCCAGGAGTTTCATATAGAAGCAGAGCAAACACTTACTTCCTCTTGCACAGTACCAACTGGGTTTCAAGTAATAGTCACACTCTGCCTCTAAGAACGCTTTTTTTCTCCAGGGATTTCAGAGTGTTTCAACATTAACTAAACATCAAAATGAGCAAACAAGAGGCAGCTCCATCCATGCCTGAAATGCAGCCACATAAAAAAAAATGCAATCATCATGCATCAAAATGTGCATCATGCAGTCAAAAAGTCTCAATCATCAGCACAGAGTTGCACTGCGTAGGAAAAACTAGAAAGTCAAGATTTAAGAACAGAATGTAGATTAAACTAAAATTTGCTTCAGATTCACACCAAATAGGGCAGAAAAAAGCCTGTGATTTCCAACAGCATCCAACCAGCCAGCTTGGCACAACTTCAGTACTGTGGGGATATTTTTCTTGGCCACCAGAAGGAGAAGCCTGATACATTTCATCCCTTTACCTGCTCTGTGAACAGCTCTGCATGCAATTCATTGGATCTAAGGATGCAGCTCAAACTTACTGGCTCCTGCAAACCTACAAAATGATACTACCGGATGGATTACCATAATAAGGGGCAGCTACAGGTATTCGGGGCTCTGCTGTACAGCTGCAAATAAGCAGAACTGAAATTTCTGTGTTACCCTAATGACAAACATGCAGGATCTAGACATAGAGGGTGCCAGTCACCAACAAAGTACATGTATGCATGCAGACAGCATGATACAAATCAGAACACTTGAAATCAAACTCAGAGAGATTGTTGAGACAAGGATGAAGTCAATGCAAACAATCTTCCACACACAAAAGAACACAACATGGCTGAGTACCTCACAGGCAGCAGCTCTGATTTTTAGCCTCCTAAGTTTTAACAAGTAGAGCTGGTCCAGTTTGACCTTCTGCAATCCAAGATCCATGAAGCTTATGGGAAATACAAAGAAATCTTGCTATTTCATAATAAAGCCACGATGAGAAACAAGACAAACAGGTGTTTAATACAAACTAACTTGCTCACAAAAAGATGGATCAAATCCCTTTCTTTGTATGCATTTAAATTTTTTTCTTGGCACAGAACAGCAACACTTGCTTATCTGCTGAGAGCCACTATTTTGTGTCTTCTATAAAACCTGTGAGCAACAACAGAACTTCCTTCAAAGCTATCACCTGTATGCTTGTTTATATTTCTATTCCCTACAGAAAAAAAAGCCATTTAAAATCTTTGATGCAAATGATCCTTTCAGCATTATGACTTCAGATTACAATTGCTTTTTAATGTCATACATTTACTCTTCCCACATTTTTGGTCACTTGCTTACTGTACATTCCTTATATTTTGAACTGTACAGAAACAGTGAAGATTAATCCACCTCAGCTTCCTTCATTAACACCACTTTCCAGTTTCCATACATCAGCATGCAGAAAACAGGACTGTGCAAGAACTCCAAAGACAGCAACTGTTTTGACCTACAGTAAGAAAAAATCTGAGTCTTCTGCATCTATACAGTCTTTAACCACATCACTTCTTCCTTACTGCCTGTCCACATTTGTCTGTGCTAACCTCTCCAAGTAATTCTGTATGAATTCTCTTTCCTTTTGACTAGTATGCTTTGCCACCATAATATCCAAGGTCTGAGAAACATAACCAGGGTAGCAGCTTATTTGATATGAATGTCAGAATAGCAGCTATTATCTACTTCTGAAGTCTACAGAGTACGTTACCAGTCTACAGAAAGTATTGACATAGAGATAATGGTGCAAAAAAAGCAGACCATGACTATTTTCTATATGAGCAAACAGTCTCTTTTTGCAAGTCACCATTAGTCCAAATCACTATAAACATCTATTAAACATGAATCGAATACTGAATAAAGCAAATACAGAAATCTTACCCATATGCAGGTGGTGTCGCTAAAGAAAATTCCTCTGTAGAAGATGTACTCCATGACACCTCATGCTTAGAGCCATTGTTTCCCAGTTCTCCCATTACCCAGTCAGGTAAACAGTCTGGGGTACTACTCCGAACGCTTCTTGAATTTGGTTCATCAAAATAAATCGACTACAATTAAAATAAACATAAGATTAACACTAGAATATATTTACAGAAATATATTCTTACACCTCTAAGGTCATTACTTGCAGGAATAGCTGCAGTATAAATATCCTTTTTCCACTGCAGTCAGTGAGGCTTGCACATATTACCTTCCCAACCCATGGAACTCAGTACAACAGGCAATGGTTTCAGTGTTTTCCAGTGTTTCAATATGAGCAATTTTCACATAGATTAGGCCTGTTATCTCACTTAAGATGGCTACTAGTCACCTCATTTAAGCATATTTTTCCTTTCACAAGAACTATCTGCTGATTAAGACAAAATACAGCCTTGAGTCTTTTATTCCATCTTTTCAAATCACACAAATTACTTTTCTGATCCTTCAGACCAGTTATTTTTAAATGCCTTCCTAGAACCTGAAGCTTTAAGAAGGTTCTTCAAAATAAAAGATTCTGCACATTGAAAGATTTGACCAACACCAGTTACAAGATATACAACGTAAATGCCTAAATTCATTCAGGACTAGTTTTCACATTTATGCCAAAGCAAAGACTCAAAAGCATTTACAGAGTTATGTTTAAGCAAGCTTGTCTGATAAAGAAACTACACTCACCATGTACGAAGGTAAAGTTTTCAGCATTCCTGGTTCTGGTTTATGTGTAAAAGGACCTTCTAGCACACCTCGCTTTAGCATGTGGAGCAGGAGTTTCGCATATAGGTTCCGATTCTTCCTGCCCACTATTCCTGTGCCCGCTCCAGAGGGTTCACATAGTTTTTTAATCCACAGTGCACATCTCTGTCGTTCTAGGAATATAAATACACATAAATCACTGCACATGTCCAGAGCAAATCAAACACATAGGGAAAACAGAAACCAGGCACCTATTTTGTAGCTGGTTCCCTTCTAATGTAAAACAAACACCCCCCCCAACGACCGAACCAAAGGCAAAAGTTGTTAAATACCTAGACTAAAGTCTCTAACAATAGTTGAAATTTAAATCATCCACATTTTCTATAAATCACGTTTACCAGAGGTTTATGACTTCTACAAACAGCATGCTCAGAATCAATCTCTAGTAAGCACAGAACACACAAGTCACCAGGAGCTCTGAACTCACTGCAAGAGCCCCATTAACTACCACACACAGCTTACATGAGCGTTTCTGTTTGAAATACACAATAAATATTCATCCATTTTAAAAGTCTTTACTGATGCACATTTTACCACATTTACCTGACCTATGCTGTAGTTTTAGAACATGAGGCTTCATATCCACAACACAGTGATCGAATTCTGCATCGAGTTTTCCCCATACTTCCTCTTCACTGTTCATTTTGAAAGAGCACAAAGTAACCTGCAAAAGTATTCACATTGGAATAGAAAAGATCAAACCCCACTACGCTTCAGTCTCTGTATCTTAGCCCATGCAAAGACGTGTTTTTAACTGTAAGGAAAATAAACCTAAATACTTCACTATGTTTAAACAAGCACAGGAATAAGAGAGATTAATGGCAAACGGAAGAAACTGAATGACATTTACAAGAGCGTGCTAGTTTAGATTGGAAAAGGAGCACTCAACCACACAAAACCGCATTCAATTACATACAGTTTGCATAAAACACCTACAGGCATTTATGTCATAGCCACATTGGTAAGTTTTCCCTTCTTAGAAGCAGCTTTGGGGCTGTTGGCTTTGGGAACGAAAACCAATGACAAACCTATGGGTTAAAAGCAACAGAACCAACAAACGTTGTCAGAACTGGTTTATTAACGAAGGAGCACTGAAACTGAGCACCGAGAGCTCCTGAACCCAGATCCATGTCCTTTTTATGTTGAGGACACCAGAACTGCAAACAATACTCCAAGTGAGCTCTCACGAGAGCAGAGTAAAGGGGCAGGATCCCCTCCTTCGACCTGCTGGTCACGCTCCTTTTGATGCAGCCCAGGATACATCTCTGTATGCCCCAGCTCACCGCTGGCACACTTCCTTGTCAATCTCGGCAGAGCACAGCAGCCGCTGCGGCTCTTCCCTTGGGGCACACAACCCCGACACACCCGGTCCCGCTTCCATGTACAGCCCCGGGGCCCTCTGAGCTTCAGCAGGGGGGAAACCAACCGCGTTCCTACTTCCCTTCCCTCAGAATGACGCTGGGAGCCACAAACCACCCCCAGCTCCCGCACCCCGGCCCCGCACTGCCCCCGGGACACGCCGCCCCCTTCACCTCGCTCTCCGCAACGCACAGCCCCGGCTCCGCGGGGGAAGCGAGCCGGGCCGCCGGGTCCCGGCTCCCCTCGGCGGGGGAAGGCAGAGCCGGCCGGGCCGGCAGTTCAAACCGGCCGCACCCCCGCTCCCGGCAGCCCCCGCGGGCACCACGTGTTTCCGCTTCCGCTTCCGCGGCCTCCCGCGGGTTGCCAGGAGACGCGGCCAAGCCCCAGGCGGTTGCCCTGGTGCCGCTGTGAGGAGCGCTGAGGGGCTGCGTTTGGGCCCGGAAGCCGGTACGGAAACAACTTCTTGTGTCTGAGAGAGGACACCGGGATGGAGGACAACAGTCAGAGCCTGTGCTTGTTCATTACAGCCTGAAGTGATTGATACCCCTCGCACACGGTCAGCGCGGCTGGCCCAGCCGGGCCCAGCACGCTGAATGGTGAAATCATCACCCAATGCTTCCCCCAAATATGTGTATAGAACTAAATATTTTATGCACACACATTAAAACCCTTAGAAGGGAGCCTGAGGGAGCACCAAGGGAGAAAAGGGAGATGCCAAAAATATAATGGAATTGACTTAGGTCCCTTACACAGGGACAGACCCAGTGTTCAGCACCACAGGAGAGCCTGGGCTAGAGCAGTGAGGGTGCAGAAGCAGCGGGAGAGAACTCCTCCGGGTTCTCTGGGATGTGTTTCTTTGGCTTAATTGCTACCGGTTGGGAACCAGCTCTATGGTGAAGACATGAGGCAGAGCAGAATGGGGACCAGTATTCCAGGAGACATTTCCTGATGGAATAGATCCCGTTTCTGGCACTGTTTACTAAGCAGAACAGGGTGGCCAGAGAGGTCGAAGCCTACCTGCATTGATTTAACAATTGCATAGCTTCTGTCTAAAAGAGAAAGAAAAACTAAAGATGCAAGAAATAGCTGAGGTCTTGTCGCCAGCCAACGCTGCAGCCGGGACATGCTGAGTTCTGATGCACAGTGGCCTTCCTGAGGAAATCCCTGTAGACACACCACTATAGAACACATAGATGTCCCAACCAGAATACAGATCAAGTTCCCAATTTGAATTGTAAAAAGATGTTCATATAAGCAAAGCACGTTCAGTACTTTTCTGTTTTCATCTCATTTTACCATGTTCTCTTATCTCTGTAACTGTCTCAGCAGGTTGCCACAAGTAACGCAAGCACAGCTTAAGGCATTCTTTCAAACATCTTTTTGGCAGATTTCACTCACTCATACCAGCCTTTGGAACACCTTTACTTGTGAGACATTACTTTTTAGACCTTGGAAGCTAAGCTTTCATGTCTGTAAAGTTTTGATTCACAAACACCTCCCTGCTTCAAAGACTTAGCAGGTCACAGATTTATTTTCCCTCCCTCTTCTTGCTGCAGGAGACTAAATAATAAATTCAGCATAAGAACACTGGCTCCTAAGGGTGATTCTTTCAAGTATTCAAATACTGCGTATCCAGCTAGGAAGCAGAGCCAGCTGACGCCATCAGTTGTTATCCTGCTGCACAGGTAAGAAAAACTGGGGAAATTCACTTGGAAAAATCTTAAAGTTCCTGAGGGAAGTGGTTTTGTGCAAAATACAAATCATTTCGGGGGAAAAATAGCATTTCAGCTGTGTTTCATGTTAACTTCACTCATGGCAACTTCCCAGTGTTCTGCTGTGAAAGACAAGTTAATATTAAACTGTGTTGGGTATCTCAGCTCCGTCCTGAACATCCCGATCCCAGCGATGTACCCACACAACATTTAGACTAGATGTCCACACAGATAGGCTCCTGCCAGCTGGTTTAGGTATGTGTTAAAAGTAGTTATGAATATCTTGGCCTGTAAGTCAAATGGCATTCCAGGATTCACTTAAACATGCTAGGAAGCAAAACACAGCTCGCATGCTACCAATAAAACACTTTCTTCAGCTTCTATCATGAATTTATCTATCTGTGCATTAGAGAATTAAGTTGCTGATAAGGACAAAGTATGAAATACTTAATAAAAGCTCCCTCAATCTCTCCTTAAAATTAGGAAGCATAAGGCTTCTACTAAACTACTACTATACTGCTAAACTGCCACTACTACTATACTAATAAAATATGCACATGCAGGCTTCAATAGTAAAATAATTCCAGTATGTTCAGATTAGCTGTAGCATCTTACAAGTACTTTAATTGTAATGGTAAATGGTCCTTTTGGAAAGTTCAACAGTAGCTTGCTTACTGTATCGCTTACTGCTGCTGGGAACCACATACACAATTTATTATCACATACACAATTTATGGTAAGTGCACAATGAAGATTTCTCTTATCACTTTCTAGTATGTAGAAATCATAATTTTTTTTTATGAATGGAATTACTTTCATACAATGTAAGACAATGGAAATACAATGGAAATACTGTGGAAATGCAATGGAAATAGACATAAGCATAAAACTTGCCAGACTGGATCATACCAATGATCTACCTGTATCATAAATGAAATTAGAAGTGCAGCTTACTTCAAAGCTACTTAATGACCAGAAATCATTGCTATTGCTCAATGGTGTACGATTATCTTTTTTTTTAAGGAGTCAGTTACCTTGTGTAATATTGAAACAGTGGTAAAAATTAACAGCTGTTTAAATCACTAGTTTCAGGTTAGAATCTCAAAAGCATAAATAGAGATTCAAGTTATGCTTTGCAGATTCAAGTTAACATCTCAAAAGCATAAATAATCCTGCTAACTTTTTACCTTTTTAACAAAATAGGGGGATTTTTTAAGTGTAAAAGAAGCCTTTACCTGATGCTATTGACATTTAAACCACAGTGGATACATTTGGAAATCTCAGTCTTTCTACTTGGGTACATTCTGGAAAATCCTTGCCTGATGACCCTCTGTCCATCTATATTAAAGGTCCACACCCTACCACAGGGGAGCAGTAATGGAATCTGAGCCCAGCTAATAACTAATGATGGCCTTTCTGTATAAAGCAGCTAAGAGCTACAGGATTTGATTGATGATTAGTTAATATTAAAAAAGGACACACTATTGGCTGAAAATTACTTTATTGTAAAGGGACTACTACTGAGAAAGTCATTTACAGTTTACGTAAATGTTGGAAGTGTGGAAAGAGAAGCAGCACTGCAGAGTTTTTGAGGAAGGCAAAGAGAAGAGAATGAGAATTAATGGCTGGAATAATGTGGCATAGCTTGTGAGAGAGGCTGGTAGAGATGGTGGAAGGGAAAAGAGCTGAGCATACATTGCAAAGAGTCTGGAGTTCACTTGACAATTTACACTCACAGGACCTAAGTTTTCCTCTCTTATGTTTTGTCTCAGTAAGGCAGAAAATTCATACTGTATTGCTTCTCTCAGATTTATTCTTGATCTTCACATGGTTTCATGTCTGATGGGTCCTTTTTCACAAGAGTTGAAAAAAAGCCACGTTCTGTTGAAAACAAGTTAAGAACTTGTGTTATACTCTTGAAATGTGATAGCTGAAAACAGCAGGTCTCATGGACCCTCCTAGGTGAGCAATCGACCTTTGCATCCGAGTAGAACCACTAGAAGAAGTACACTATTGCAGTTTCTATTTTAATGAAGGCTAAGTTACATCCACCAGAAGCCATGCCAAATGTGAGGTGTTTTCATTATACATAAGCTGTGCTTCTCCTTCACTTTAAAATGAAAATAAAACTTACAAGGGCTATTCTATGCTAGGAATATTGACAAAAGAAATGCCAAGCATTTCCTCTTGCTAATGGACTTCACTATTTAGTCTGTTCATTTATTCTAAACAACTGCATGCCCCTGAATCAATTCCTCCAGCAACAATTCCTCACTACGGCTCTTAGCTGCTTTGTAACACTCTTGGTCTAGAGTCAGACCAGTGTGTTACCAATCAGCATAATGTGGGAATTATGCACGTAGTCATATGTCACCAGAATAGGAGTGAATATGGCAGATTCTCAAGGCAGCAGCAGTGTTCAGGCTCTTTATCCCTAGAGAAGTTGTTGATCCAAGGCTTCGTGAAAACCCATAATACTTTATATATTTTACTTTAGGCTAGACCTAAAATATAGGTCCTAAAATATAGACCTCCAAATATAACACCTTCTGAGAACAGAACAGGAATTAAAGCAGGGCTCTGATTTATCCAAAAGAAGTCTTGCTGTGCATTCTCTCCTTCACTCAGGCCACTTCTTCCAAAATACCCAATAGCTCTAGTACAAGACAGATGAATTAGCCAAATAGGGCTTGAGGATAATTATGACTTTGCCCCCCATACTGAAGTGCTTGTTACTCTACCAATAGAAGTTCTTCTGTGATCAGCCTAGCTCATACCTTTGAAACAGGCAGGGAGAGTAAGGTTGCCATCCACACATGGGACTGGTACAGTATAGGCACAGGATTTTTCTTTATTCTTGCAGAAGAAGGATACAGTTTCACCATGCTGAATACCATCCTTAAGGTCATTCTGAACTCTTTTCTTCTCACCATTGTATAATACTACAGCTTTCTTCACTGGTATTTTACATGGTCCTGTAAAATAATCCAGATATAAGCAGCATGTAAGGATAATTAGAATTCTATTTTGAAAAGTGGGTAGGTTAGATCCCATCAGAACTCTGTACAAGTGATATTTGGGAATAGAAAATAATGTGTTTGACACATAGATGGTACTTCTGCTGGTTTTACAATTCTAAAGAAATTCGGACACTCAAGTATGTGGTCAAAAGTATCCAGAGAAAATCCAGCCTCAGTAAAATTTCTAATTATACTAAGTAGGAAAAGGAGAGGAAACACTCAGGTAAAATACAGGTACATTGCTGGTTGTTGAAGTTAATTCAAATTCATCATGTCATACAACATTCAATGTTAGCAGTGGTCTTAGATTATCAGGGCCTTGAAATTACTATCTCAGTTTCCTTTTGAGGGCAGCTCTTGCACAAAGGAGTAGTTGCTTACTAACCATCAGTGTGGTGGTCTTTTAGTGGTCTTTATATATATGTAAGTTGTTTGATAATGGTTTCTAACAGACAGTATATGTTTACCTTTACAGGTTGGCTTTGTGGACCAGTTTCCAGTATTTTCACACCGGGAATGCTTAGGTCCTTCCAGCACGTAGCTGGGCTGGCAGCCGAAGCTGACACTTTCATTATAGTGGTATGTTCTACGAACAACAAACTCCAAGAATCCATTTTCTATTCCTGTTGGCGTGGGGCATGTGACAACTGGGGTACAAAGACAAAGCTTTATCAGTGTTGCAGTTCCAAAAGACACACAATATACTTCAAAAACTACATAAAACTGTCATGGTGGTTCATTTCAGCCTCTTGCACAGGAAAACACAGCCAGAGGAAGATGGTTTAAACCCCATGATCAATAAATATTATTTGTTTTAAATATACATCTATAGCAGTCTGTGGTTATGACCAAAAACTATGCATATCCAAAAACTTCAGCTTCACTGAAAGCAGTGAAGTTCTTAGGACTAAAGGTGAGGTTTTCTGTTTCTTATGTAATTCCACTTCATAGAACAAAACATTCCCTGCGCTCTGTAGCCAGGCTCCTGTTCCCCTGTGGACTACATTTAGCAGGTTTTGTTTATATAACCTTTATACCTGCAGCAAATATTTTGTCAATCCCACATTGCATGTAATCTCGCTAGCAATCACCTTGTGTGCACGAACCTGACTTCCAGAATAATTCTATATTTGAAATCACAATTGTAAGACAAAAATCATACAGTTTTATCTCTACAATTCTAGGGAATATTGTTAGGTGTTGATAAAAGTACATCACTTACCCTTGCACTCTGGAATGCTGCTCCAGTTCCCATTGGCCATGCAGGTGGCTGTCTCATTCCCAATAAGTGCGAGAGGAGGTACACATTCAAAAGTAATTGTGTCCATGAAATGAGAAACGTTTCCAGGTTTTGAGCGACGGTAAGAAAGGACTGAAAATTCAGGCAGCGAGGGAGGTGCACAAGTCACCGCTGGAGAAACACATAGGAATAAAAGTTTAAAGATCAAATTATTACTAGAGTAACAGCAGCAACATGCTTATAACCAAATTAACACACACTGCCCGTTGTGGAAGTGTAGCTATGAAAAAAATCAGATTAAAAGTCTTAAAGGATGCAATTCATTATTTTTGCTATATTTTTTCAGGCAATATTATGCAGTATATTGCTTTTTCAGTGAAGTCTTTATGAAGGGCAGGTTATATACAAAACCACTTGTAACAGTTGGAAAGTAGCGACAATATCCTCTTTTTATACACTGGGAGAATGAATTTGAGTGGATAAGCATCTTATGTTTGGCTGTAAATAGCATCCCTGATCCTGTCTTTTGTACAGACCTTTAAACCCTATTTCTCTAAAACCAGAATCCACACATCTGAAACCAAACACACAGAGTTCTTGATTTTTCCTAATCATTTTTTGCATGGCTCTGTAGGAGGCCTCTAAATATGAGTATATGTAATTCTGAGCAACATAAAGGAATCTTTCTGTAATGATAGAGAAGTTCTTTAGTATTTCAACACATACGTTGACACTGTGGAAGACTTCCACTCCACTTCCCATCTGCCATGCATTGGCTCATTCTTGTCCCGACAAGGTTGTAACTGAAAACAAGAAGAACTGATTCTCAGAAAGCTTAATGACCACAGAGAGGAATCAAGTTGTTCTTTGCAAGAAACGTTACCTTTTCTCATAAACAGAGCTAAGAGTCAGTTTAAATCCTTCTCTAGTTCTAGTACTTACTGGCCTCAAAGGAAGTTTAGATTCAAAATTGTTAGTATTCGAGTATCCAGACACAAGCCTTGATACAAGATGCTTTGCTGTCTCAACTATGTATTCCACCTTGTGTATTAATTTCTACAATGGATTAGTACTGTGGATATATGTAAGTAGTGAATGTTGATCTGTGATTGCTATTGTATGGTTTCGTATGGTATTGTATGGTTTCTTGGGAGGAATTCCTAGCTAATTATGGCAATTCAGATCAAGCTATTGTAAAGACCTAAGCACTCTTAAGAACTAAAGTCACCGAGGTGCATTATTTTATTTTAATGCCAGATAGCCCCATTTAATTTCCATATGCACTCTGAATGCTTCTCTCCCATCCTCTGTACTTACATTAGTTGCACTCATTCTGAGTTTTAAATGTGCACTGTGAATCTACCATTTCAATATCATACAGCTAAAACCCAGTGAATTACAATTAGCAAAACCGAATCAAGTCCCATTGCTATATTTTGTGTCATACTTGAATTTATTTATTCCTTACCTTGCTCATCTTTTGCAGGAGAAAGAGGCAGTTGAGGCTGTTGATACTGTTCAGTGAACTATGTCTCACCTATGGCCTTCTCAGGTAAGCACTATTTATTCATTCATTACCCAAGTAAAAGGCACTGCATGCTACTATCAAATATTTCCCTGCATTTATCAGAACTGTTTTTCTTTAAATGCTTCCTCATTTCTAAAGCTGACAAGTAGCCTTGAGTACAAGTGCAATTGCTCCAGGGACTGAAGTAGGATTAACCTCGTGTTTTCGTGTATTGAGCTCAGAAAGGATAGAAATAAAATTCTCAGTCTCCAGAGCCTAACAGCATAACAATTTAGATGGAGATTATCTTCTCTCTGCTCTAGGATTTCATCTTATGATGTAAGAGGATTTCAAAAGCAGGGAAAGCAGTCCAGAATAAATCTTTGCCTAAAAACTCTGCTATGTTAGTGTTTTCCATATCTGTAAGACACTGCTTTGGAGTAGCAAAGCTTCAGGATATTACAGCCAAGACCAAACAGAGGAGGATCACCAGATACGCTTCATTTTTTAATATGTGAAGTGGAGGTGGGGTTTTATGTGTGGTTCTCCAAGTTCCCTGGTTTGCAATACTGCAGCAGGTGACACTAGAATGTAATACTGTGATTTAGGTTATTTGTTCAACACAGCACGAGGAAGGGAACTCTTACCCTGGTTCACAGGAAAAATTTATAGAACTCTGATAGTGGAGGTCTACAAAATCAATTTTCCCATGCGGCAAGGGTCCAAGAGTGGGACATCTCTTTGCTGTTAATTAAAGATGAAAAAAAGGATAATATTATTTCATGAGTGTGAGGATAATGAAAACAAGATGATAAGGAAGGGGTCCTGGTGTAATTTCACATTTCTGCACTTCTGTGTACCATGTTTCATAAGTCCAGTTGTTCTACATTTCTGTCAAAATACAGCAGGTTCAAAGTGTTTATGACTAAATAATTTTTATCATTTGAGGAAAATAAATCCTGTGCAATGAAATGATAAAAATGAACACTGAGGGATACAGTAAATGCAGGTGTTATCAACTGGCATATGTCATTAGAGTATAAGAACTGCTGGGCTGAGTCAGATCAAGGTTCACCTTGTCCGCGTCCAACCTTCATCATCATCAGGGAGCAGAGGCGTAAGGGACAGCGTGGGACATGCATGGGAAGAGCCTTCCCCTGTTACTTGTAGAGTTGATTTGGTTTTACTTACGTAGGCACAGCAGTGTGTTGAGAGGCCACTTGCCAGTTGGGAGGCAGGTGTACTTCCTCTGGCCATTGTTGGGGATGAACCCAGGCCTACAGGTATATTCTACTTCCTCACCCACTTCATACACGCTTTTATCTACATCAATGGTGGCAAATAGCACTTGTGGTGGTCTGGAACAGACTGGAGAAAAGGAGACACTTTACAAGAGATTGGGCAGAAAATTGGAGTTGGTTTTATTTCTCAACTGGAAGCACAGATTTCTGTGTTATATGTTCCTGCACTGAGCTATACTGTCCTTCTGTAATCTATAGGTATATAACATTTTGACATGGCTCATGGCTGCTGTAAGCATTTACAGAAAGAAATGTGTTATCCCTCTTCTCCTCAGTAGCTCTATCAATGGCCTCAGTGAGATTTTGTGTCACTTTTTTCATGCTGAATTTTACTTTTGCTTCAAAATGGATTTCTGAAGGTATTCTACAAAGTGAGTCAGTTATGGTAAATTATAACGGGTAAAAGAAGGTGAGAGTGACTTAGAACAAACTAATGCATTTCATTTCTTATCTATCTTAGTTTGGTGGGGTCAGCCCAAAATGAGACATTTTTCTTAATTAAATTTCTTTTTCTCTGGTTCCCCTGAGATTTCTATTCTTGGGGCAGTCGGTTACATTAGACAGTTCTGATTCCAAAACAGCTTTCACATGTTGACAGCATGAACAACTCATCACCCAGAGAGTGCGAACAAGAGGGGAGCCGCGAGGGAGGAATGGAGGGTGCAGACTGTTCTGCAGAAGACATGGAGAGATGTTCCTGCTGAGATTGTGGGGAGAGAACACAGGGACACAAAGCTCATGCTGTAGAAATGAATGGCAAAGAGAGGGAGAGAGAACATGAAACAGTGCCCAGAGCCTTTGGTATGGGGGAAGAAGGAGAAAAGCAAGGCAGGAGCTG